GAGAGTGGGTGTTCTTTTGTGGATCTTCAAATGCCTTTGATGAGGATCTGTAAACATTTGAATCACTCAAAGGGGATTGGGAAGGTCTTCTATGATGTCAGATAAATTCATTATCATGAGAGTCAAAGGTAATTTGGAGGAACCAGTTTTGTGGCTCTGATGTGGGAAAAGCCCAAATTTTGACTTTGGCATAATGAAAATAATTAATGGACTCAAAACTTGGAAAAAGACTCAATAACCCAAACTGTTCTAGATGTATGAAATGATACGTGAAATATATCGTATTTTTCTTGATACAATTGTTAAGTAGAACTGACTGGTAAGACCATATCAGATATCTTTTAATGCTCAAATCTTATGTATTGTGCAATACCAACAACTATTGATGCATACATACATATACACATGCATTTGCAAGGAACAAGAAAAGGGAAAAAAATGCACACAAGCGCGCGTACACCCACCTGCACACAAGCGCGCGTACACCCACCCACCACCCATCCCCCCACACACAAAAGAAAGACACAAATTTACTTCATCTCAAGCCAGTACATGCAAAAGCTGATTTCAGGAACATGCAGCCTGAAAACATCATGCGTCGTGGGTGTACTTTCAAACGCATAGTACTTTTATCTTATAATTATTCGATCATGTTCGTGTATGTGCTTTTAGAGTTGCAGAAACTAAAGCTTTAAATGCTTCATAATTTTGTCTCTGTTTTCCCCATGTCAGGTTATGCAGTTCCTCTCCCGTCATAAGCACTCAAAGAAGTATATTCTTGTCCACTGTACACATGGGCATAATCGTACGGGTTTCATGATTATCAACTTCCTCATGCGTTCACAGCCTATGCATGTAGCAGAGGTACTTGTGTGTTACACGAGTATTTATTAGGAGCCTTTTGTGTTTTGTTCACACCATTGCTGATAATCTTTTGCTTGCCAGGCGGTAAACGTATTTGCTCAGAAGCGGCCTCCAGGAATCTACAAGCAAGATTACATTGAAGCACTGTACACATTTTACCATGAAAGTCCTGAAAATTTGATTTGTCCTCCCACTCCAGAATGGAAGAGACCTTCAGATCTTGATTTGAATGGTGAAGCTATGCCAGATGAGGATGATGATGGAAATACAGACGCTCACGCTCCTTTGCATGTATGTATAGCAAAGGGAGTTTTAGCTTTGTTGCTCACAATTTGTCTTTACTATTCTGCATTGGCTTTAGCTTTTATGTATTTTCATGCTCTTGTTAGACTGGACTATGCTAGTTTTGTTGAAATAGTTCATGTAAGCAACATCATAACTTTGATGCTTGATGAACTAACTCTAATTATGCTGGCTTTCCTACTTTATATGTTGTCAGTCTTCACATTGCTAGTGATGGAAATAAACTGCATTTCTCTTTTCTTTTAATCTTTTCTTCAGCCTTACATATATAATGAAGGATTATCTGTTAATAAACTGCATTTCTCTTTTCTTTTAATCTTTTCTTCAGCCTTACATATATAATGAAGGATTATCTGTTGTCCTAGTTATTAATGGTCCACATTTAATCTTTTCTTCAGCCTTACATATATAATGAAGGATTATCTGTTGTCCTAGTTATTAATGGTCCACAGCGGCTGAAAAATGTTTAATTCGCCATAATTTTCTGGCAAAATGTTTATAATCATATTCATCTTATGTGTAGCATTCATTACACACTTCTCTCATGTAGATTACCCAATATTATAATGTTGAAACTGCATTATTCCAATTCATTACACTTTGGAAAAGGTTTGTTACCAATTTCTTGTCCTAGTTTAATAAAATCCATCAGGTCGTGATAAGATGAACCAGAGTTGCAACTTCTAAACTCATCATACCATTCACTGATGAATAGCATGCTTTACATGCTCTACTATCATGTAAATTTATACAACAATAACAACAAATCGTTTATCTCAAATTTTTTGGGATTGCCTGCATGAATCCTACTCTTCAAATTAGTTCTATCCACTAAGTTAACCATTATCATATCCTTCTTAACAGTTTTCTAACCAATTTTCCTTAGGCCTGACTCTAGTCCTTTCACTCTGAATGATAATTTATTCACTTCTCCTAATTGGTGCATTTATGGCTTCCATTACACATAACCAAACCTTGTCAAATGATTCTCTTATTTTATCCTCGATAGGAGCAGTCTTCAGCTTCTTGTGATTATACTCATTTCAAATCCTCTTAGCATGTATATCCACTCGTCCTTGTAACATTTTTACCTCAACTACACTCATTTTCTGCACATATTTTTTTAATGGCCCAACTTTCTGATCCATAAAATGTTGCGGGTCTTATAATTGTTCCACAGAATGTCATGTAAATTTTCTAAGATCATACGTGGTTGAGAAAGTTTTGAACATATTGAATCAGGTATGGGTATGTAAATTACCTTCTTTTTTTTCACTTCGAGAAACATCTATTAGTTTTTCTTTGGGCTTACTGAAGATTTTATGTGTGTATGTTTAAATATAATTTTTTAATATGTACCAGTTGAAATATTTCGTGTTCCAAAAAATCTAAGTGTGTTCTTATAATTTATAAACCATTGAGGTTGGAATCCACAGTGATTGTAGTTTTAAAGAAATATTGTCCTTGTGCTGGCTAAGCCTACATAAGAATTTTCCTACTAAAAAATTGTAAAGGGCATTGCTTTTCCACCTTCTACCACATGCAAGGACGTACATATCTTTAATAAACCTTTCAACATGCATGCAGGTGTGTGATCCCTAACACTCCTGCCTTGCTTTCATATGAACCGGCATTTTCAATTGTATACTATATTATTCACTTCATAGATCACACTATGTATGAGCAGACGTACTCAGTTGTAAACAGTGTTGCTCTGTTATGTAAGTACTACTTCTTTGTTTGGGCCACAAATCTACTTAATGTGGCAGGCTTTTTCTAGACTGGAAACTTGCTTTGTTCTCATATGTGTCTAGTTCATCCATGAACTCCTTTCCTTAACTTTTTTGTACTGCTTTTATTTTGCAGGAACATGTGGAGAACACACTGATAACAAATGATGATGTCCTAGGAGATCCAATACCTTATGACCAGCAAGATGCTATGCGCCATATTTGTTACCAGTTATTTGATTTGACTCCTACTGTATGTAATCTGCAACTGTCTTTTTTATCTATCACATGGATATCTCCTTATGCACAATTTACAGAGACAAATTAGATTGCTGTCATAGTCTTAATTTTTGCATTACATGTTTAATTCAGATTAAGTCAGTGGTTACAAACTCCATTCAATGTTACTTATAATTGCATACAGAGTTTAATTCTGTGTGTTTATTGATCAAAATGGGATATTTTATGTACTTAGCACGTTAGCGGTTGATGCACTTCCCTGTAGCAAATATGAGAAATATAGCTTTTCATTTTCTCCTAAGATGTTTTTGGGCTGGGGGAAGTTGGGTGGGTTTCTTGTTGGTCGTATGAGCTTTGGTTCAGGCTTAAATGAGTTGCTGATTTTGCCTTCAAACAGGCCAATTAAGGGTACATAGCAGGTTCTTCTTGCTGATAGTTGTCTTGTCCTAGTTTGCACCATGGAATAATGACAGAACACTCCCTAGGTTTCAGTCAATATAGGAAATGGTCCCCCACTTTTATTGAAGTGTCTAAAGACTCGAATTTTCAGGTTTTTCACCTGAATTTTTTTTCTGGCCCAGTGGATTAAAAAAACCATAACATGCAGTTTCATCTACCCATAACATGCAGTTTCATCTAAATGTCTAAGGAGTCCCTCTTTTAGCTAAAAATGGTAATTTAAGGAAGGAAAATGGCAATATGTGCATTATGTCATTATAAGTAGGGGTGGAAAGGAATTAATTAGAGTGCTAAGTTGTTTGTATTTGTATTTGTTTAATATTCTCCAATTCGAATCTGAATTCGGATACCCAGTTCTGGAGTTTCAATTTTGAACTTGAATACTCGGTATTTGATAAATATTCATGAACACTCACGAATAATTATCGAATATTAAGTATATTTATTTTGCTGAAGAATTTGATTTTCATGTAGTATTTAAATTTATAATTGAAAATTATTCCTTTATAATTGTGATGTATATATATTTAATTTGAATATTTTGTTAGAAAAGTGATTTAGTACGCTTTAAGTATCTCAGAATTAGTATATAGATATTAAGTAGAAAATGTAAGTGGGTTGAAAATATTAACATCATGTGTGTATCTCAGAATTAGTATATAGATATTAAGTAGAAAATGTAAGTGGGTTGAAAATATTAACATCATGTGTGTGATAATACAAATTATAGGCGATGAAGAGTAGAAAATGTAAGTGGGTTGAAAATATTAACATCATGTGTGTGATAATACAAATTATAGGCGATGAAGGTTTAAACGAATATTTGGTAAACAAACAAATTGAATATGCATCTGTTAAATTCTATTTGTTTTAAGAATTCAAATACTAAAACTATTTGTTTAGTGTTAAATGAACTATTGAATCGAATATAACCTAATAGTTTCTCAAACAATTAACAAAGTATTTGTTAATTATTTGGTTTATTTCCACTTATAAGAGAACTAGTATGACCATTATGCTAAATGTTGGTTACTATAGGGTGCAAAAAGTTGTATGCTAATACAAGCCATAATTTCTATGCATCAGATCTTACCCCAAAATAAATTGCATCTTATATATTGCTCCAAAGCATGGTATCAATATTAGCATATAATATTATTGTACCTAGGAGGTGTAGAACGCGAATGAAATATATGGAGAAACCATGTCAATTCGTTGGAGAAAAAAATTGAGAAAATTTGGTAGTTGGAGAGAAGTTCAGAATGGTATAGACTTGATACGGGTGTATCTTCTCTTCAAGAGCTCAGCGATCCTTATGGGAGTTTGAGGATAGTAATTCTCATGGTATCTTGAGAATAGTGTAGAGGAGTCGTGGACAAAGTCGTGGGAGGCGGCGAAGTCGAAGAGTTCAGAAAAAGACAAGAAAAACAATTTTATTGATGTCTGGTCGACCGCGCATGGCACTGCGGTCGACCGCGAACATGCACAGACTCAGGGTTAGCCTCTGGACTTTTCACGATCGACCGCGATGGGTTCTGCGGTCGACCGCCAAAACCTTGTGATGCATATTCAGTCTCGGGAGTTCGGTCCAGTCGACCGCACATGGTTCGGCGGTCGACCGCGTGTCGGTTTTGAGCCTGAGCTTGTCTTCCTGCACTGTTTAGGATTTTTGTTTGTTATAAATAGAAACACGATTTTTCTAGGGTTAATTACTCAGATTGTAATCAGAGAAGAGATCAGGGAGGTTGTTCTTTGATCTAGAGAGATTCTAATCATTGTATTAGGGTTTAGAGAGAATTGAGAGTTTGTTCTCGATTCTAGTGAGATTGTGAGAGAGAGATTGTAATCTTTTCATACTCATAATCTAGATAAGGTATTTTTCTTCGCCATATACTGAATTGTGCTTGTGTTTCTGTCATCCTCTTCTCAATCCACTCTTGATAATTTCGCGATCAAGGGTGCTCGCACGGCGACTCGTATCAAGTTGGTATCATAACGATTAGATCCTGTGAAGGGGGAACCTGTGTATGGTTCTTACTCGATCGTAATATAAGAAGCTTGGCGAGATCCTTATTTTATTGGAAGGAGTCCAGGTTTTAAGGAAGAAGAAGATGGCTGAAGGAGACAATTCAGCGAGGATTGATGCATTGGAGAAGCAGATCGAGACGATAGGTTCGACTCTCACACAACTCGTTAGTTTTATCCATGGAGGTGACAAACAAGTTGAATCTTCTTCGAAAAAAATTGTTGAGTCCGATGTGAAGAGAGTAGATTCAGATTTCGACGAGGGGGAGGAGACCGTTAAGGCTGCGTTGCATCAAGGGGGTAAGAATTCTTATCAGAACCTGAAGATTGACTTCAAGGTGAAGATTCTTATTTATGATAGGAGTGTTGACGTCGAGAGGCTTGATGACTGGATCGAACGGATGGAGACGTATTTTACTCTTTATGGCTACTCGTCAAAAGAGAAGATTGTGTTCGTGACTTTGAAGCTTTCTGGGCATGCGTTGACGTGGTGAAAATCCTACTGCAAGCAGGAGAAGAAGACGGTATCGTGGAACAAGTTTAAGGAACTACTGAGGAAGCAATTCTATTCGGTAGGATTCCTTGAAGAGCGTTGGTACAAGTGGTACGGTTTGCGCCAAAGAGTCAATCAAACCGTTCAAGAATACATCACGGAATTCTAGCAGCAGGCGATGATCCTTAACATTACGACAGAGGAATATTTCGTGTTCATGAAGTATATGGCGGGATTAAGCGACTACATCCGGAAGGAGATGAAGCTGTTCACGGTCGAGACTATCGCAGAGGCGAGCGTGAAGGCCATTGCCATTGAAGGCAGACAGAAGAAGGGCAACGAGACTAAAGGAGACTCCAAACAGACGAGAGGCGAGTCTAGTGGTTCTAAATATAAGGAGGGGAAGAAGGGTGATCCAGGGAAAGCAGGGTTGATTTGTGGTCACTGCGAGAAGACAGGGCATGTTGCTGATCGGTGCTGGGAGAAGTATCATCATCTCAAACCAAGAGGGTTGAAGAAGAAAGAGGAGAAAAATGCATACGTGGTAGCTCAAGGTCCGAAAGAGATCCCGGGGATGACAGAGCCCAACGGAAGTCTCAACCTTATGGCGGGAAAACAGACCACGAAAGAGGACGATGACCCGAGAGAGCAGCTCTTTGTTCTTAAGTTGCAAGTGAAGACCAGTTTGGTTGATGTCATAGTTGATTCGGGTAGCGAGAAGAATTTGATATCTGAGGCTTTGGTACAGAAGCTGGGTCTGAAGACGCTCAAGCATCCGAAGCCCTATCCATTGGGGTGGATTTAGAAGGAGAAACTGAGTGTAGTTGATCAATGTACTGTCAGATTTGCGCTCCATGAGTCGTATATTGACGAGGTCACGTGCGATGTAGTTCCATTAGATGTTTGTCAGATTATACTGGGTAATTCGTACTTATGGGATAGATATGCGATCTACGAGAGGCGGGCTCAGAAGTATACATTCATCAAAGGTGGTGAAAAGTTCATATTTGATTCGGCATCTCTTCCGAGGGAGACAAGCTTGGGGACGGTGACGCGAGCGAAGAGGCTAGTGAATGCAAGCAAGAGGTTTGTCTCGCTATGCATTAGACTTCGAGAAAAGCCATCGAAAGAGGATTGCGTGTTGGAGCGGAAGACGGCTACGACAATGCGAGGAGCGAATGAGTCGTTTTCAGTTGTACGCCGATATCAGGTTCCTAGCAAGGCCAGATAGTGCAGAAAAGATGGAGGAGCTCGAGAGTTTCCTCAGCTGAAGTTCTAACTTGAACGGGACTTCAAGTTCCTAAAAGGGGGACCCATGATATGGGTGTATCTTCTCTTCAGGAGCTTAGCGATCCTCATGGGAGTTTGAGGATAGTGATTCTCATGGTATCTTGAGAATAGTGTAGAGGAGTCGTAGACAAAGTCGGAGGCGGCGAAGTCGAAGAGTTCAGAAAAAGACAGGAAAAACAATTTTATTGATGTCCGGTCGACCGCGCATGGCACTGCGATCGACCGTGAACATGCACAGACTGAGGGTTAGCCTCTGGACTTTTCACGGTCGACTGCGATGGGTTCTACGGTCGACCGCCAAAACCCTGTAATGCATATTCAGTCTCGGGTGTTCGGTCCGGTCGACCGCACATGGTTCGGCGGTCGATCGCATGTCGGTTTTGGGCCTGGGCTTGTTTTCCTGCACTGTTTAGGATTTCTGTTTGTTATAAATAGAAACACGACTTTTCTAGGATTAATTACTCAGATTGTAATCAGAGAAGAGATCTGAGAGGTTGTTCTTTGATCTAGAGAGATTCTAATCATTGTATTAGGGTTTAGAGAGAATTGAGAGTTTGTTCTCGATTCTAGTGAGATTGTGAGAGAGGGATTGTAATCTTTTCATACTCATAATCTAGAGAAGGTATTTTCCTTCGCCATATACTGAATTGTGCTTGTGTTTCTGTCATCCTCTTCTCAACCCACTCTTGATAATTCCGCGATTAAGGGTGCTCGCACGGCGACTCGTATCAAGACTTTTCTCTCTGATAATTTTGGAGAAAGAACCATGGTACCCAATTTTATTGGAACATCTTTCACATGAAAAAACCCTTTCCTGCCCAATGGGACTAAAAACGATACATCATTGAGTTTCATCTAAATGCCTACGGAGTCTCTTTTAGCCAGATGTGTTATTTTTCTTAGCATAATTACAGTACGGGAGGAGAATGGCAATGTGGGCATCATGTCATTAAAAAAGGAATAGTATGACCATTATGCTAAGTGTTTTTTATTATATGGAGCAAAAAATGTGTGCTAATACTAAACCTTAAGTTCAGATCTTACCACAAAATTATAGTAGTATCTCATATAGTCCTCCAAAGCGTGAGATTAACATTATCATATAGTATTGACCTACCTAAGTTTCCAATATAGAACACAAATGAAACATGGAGAGAAAAACATTAGTGCTTTTGTTTTTTGTTGTTTTTTTTTTTTTTTTTTTTTTTGTGGGGGGGTGGGGGTGGAAGTGAAATAGTTGGTACCAGGAGAGAAGTTCAGAAGGCTGCAGACTTTTCTTTCTGATAAATTTGGAGAACCATGGTCTTCTGATTTTCAAATGTAAGTTGGTGGATTATAGCCACTTAGAAGTCATTTTTGAACGTAGCAATCAACTTGTGCCAAAAAAACCCAAAAAAAAGGAAAAAGAAAATCCTACATATAGAAAGATAGGGTTCAGTTCAGCATTTAAAGAAAAAAAAGAGGACATTCGTGTACATTTAAACTGAATGACCACATTTTCATTGTCTGTTAGTGGTGATCTTTGATTGTCAATAAAAACTTGGTTTTTTTTTTCCTTTTGTCCTTTCTTTAGTTTTAGTGCTTCACCCTCTCTGCTTTATGGCATAAACTTTAGATTTTGCTGAATATAATTTGTGTTTGCTCATGTGAAAGTGTCATTCCTGTTTGTGAAACAGTTAACAGCAGTGTCGATTATTATGTTGTGATCTATAATATATCTGATTCATCTTTGATTTCTTGTTCCTTACGGAAGTATCGAGATTTTAGATGTGTTGAAAGTTAAAATAGTTTATATCTTGTGACCATTCATGAAGCTGTTTCACTTATGCTATTCTGTTTTTCATGATTACAGGGGAGAGGAAATGCACAATTTCCGGGATCACATCCTGTTTCTCTCAACAGGTTTAGTTTTCCTATACCATTCATTCTATATTGAAGTATTGGAGGAATTTCTTTGGTATGTAATGGTACCAAATAATTTTAAAAAATTAACCACATCAAAGCCTAATAACCATGAAATTCAACGGCTAAAGATTAAGATTTCAGTCGAAGCTCGCTTGTTTCAAGATCGAATTGATGTTGTTCTGCATCGCTGGATAAATTCTTGGGTGCATGTGTTCTCTAGTACACACTTTTTGTTACTATTTTTGTTCTGAATCCATGCTGCATGGGCCGGGATGCTTCAATTTATGTTGTCACACTTTTTGTTACTATTTTTGTTCTGAATCCATGCTGCATGGGCCGGGATGCTTCAATTTATGTTGTCCATTCTTTCATATGTTGTTATCCAATGTCCTTTTGGCTCTTCTGCATCTCCTATCCCCTCCTATAAAATTATCTTCCTGAATTTATTCATTGTTTTACTTTTCTCTTTAAGTGATTTTTCCTAGACCTTGACCCATACCTCTAGCTGATGCTGACTACCAGCTAATAGAGTTGATCTCAAAATTGATACTCAGTCGTACTTGTAATGAGCAACCAATTTTCCTCTAAACTGCAGTTGGTTTGATTGGCACACAGCTTTTTGCTCTTTGGTCAAATGGAGCATTTTTTAGTGTTAAGCAGGCTGTTCAACATGCTTTTAGGGCACGGACATGACTGTCAAAATCCGACACAGATGTGTATGTGACTCAAATGATATCTACGAAGAGGACTACTATGCACATTTTTTTTTAAATATGTATGTGTGACTGAAATAAATGTGTTGATTTGTTATTCCAATATGAAAAAAGATAAATAGTGATCTGTACATTGTATACAGCATTTATATTGTGTCAAAAGTATAAATTACACTTCGTTTTGCAGTATTTTTTAGGTGAACAAAGGTTTCCATATTTGTTAGTGACTTGGTGTTGTACGCAAATGTTCTTTTTACCCATTCCTAATCCACTTCCGGCACAAGATAGAAGAAGCTTATGGGTCCACTGATAGTTTAACCTCTTACAATATCCTTCTGTCTTCAGAGGGTTCTAAGTGTGTCTGACCCTTATTCATAGCTAACCCTTTTTTCTCCTTTATTATTTTCAAGGATTCCTGGTTATGCCACCTCCACTCACAAAACCTGCATCCATCTTAAGTATTGCAGTACATTAATATCTAGTGCCCAGGCCTGTTCAAGTCGAAAGTTGGTCTTACACCTTAAATGCCTGAAGAAGTGTTTATCCCTAGCAAGCAAAACCAAGTAAGACAATGAATGTTTGTGCTGAATCTGGGATAAAATCAAGCTATGGTCACGTAGATATCGTCTGACTTCTTATATTAATGCTCTACTAAACAAATAATTGCAATTTGTGTAAATTATCTGCTTCAAATAAATTATTGTTGTGTTATTTACAACATTTTATATTATCTGGACTTCATCTCTGAACATTGTGATCCATATGCAGGGAGAATCTGCAATTACTTAGGCAACGCTATTATTATGCTACATGGAAAGCTGACGGGACCCGGTATATGATGCTTATTACCACCCATGGCTGCTACCTAATTGATCGAAATTTTACTTTCCGTAGAATCCAGATGCGATTTCCTATGAAGAATATTAATGAGGTTGGTACGTACTGATCCTTGTTTAGCTTGTCAAAATGTCAATTTTAGTTTATATTAAAAGTCAACTCTTGATCTGAATGTCTCAAAATTTCATTTTTGCAAGGGCTTCCATAACTTGACATTGCTTGACGGAGAAATGGTTATCGACAAAATACCTTCTGGACTTAAGAGAAGATATCTGATATATGATTTGGTGGCACTTAGTTCTCGTTCTGTAGTAAAGGTCAGAGATCTTCTCATGGAAATGGTTAATTTGATTTACATTTATCCGCCATCAAGTTAAGATTATGTGCCACCAGTTTCTGTACTTCCTCTAGTTAGCTATTTCTTGCATAAATGCCTCAATATGTTGGTTGACGAATATTAAAGGAATATTAAATTATTATTGAAGATAACAATTGTACATTAAATGAGTTGTGCTAATAGTATTCTATGACTCATTAGGTATCTAAAAGACAAAATTTTAAGGTTTTTCAGTGAGCATTCTACATCGGGATTTGGAGAAAAAAGTATAGTTCTAATAAAATCTCATCGTGTCAACTCATCTGGTTCATTTCATGCAGCATCTTTTTATTGTCATGTTTTGTTGACAAAATCTGTTGGGAGTCTGCGGGAATCAAAGTTGAGAACTGATCCTAGAAAATTCTGAAAAAGCTGATGGATTATGTTGATCCATGAAACTAATCCCATGTGGATTTTTTAATGTTTGTACTTTGTAGGGTATATTATGGTTAATTGGTAATTTAGAAGCGGTATTATCACTAGAAGAATGAAAGATTTCTGTGAACATGTGTGGACACTATATGTCTGCTCGTGTGTGCGCATGTGCGTGTATGAGCTCATGTATGAGTTTAAATAATATTTTTGGAAAATTATTCCTGCAAGCATCTGACTCAAGCACTTAAAGGTGCTTATGTGTGTGCGTGCGCTGTGTGGGTGTGCGTGTGAGGTGCATCTTCGCAACTTAAAGTGCTGGGTGGCTTTTGTAGCAAGGGCTTTACCCTTGATTAATCATAGTGTGCCTCATTGCATCATAGTTTCTATATCCAACTTCAGCAAAAAAATGTCTCAGCTTTTTATAATAGTGAAAAACAAGTTCAGGAGAAAATACATGAAAAAACAACTAGATTTTATGGAATATCTCTTAAATAAACAGGGAAAAAATGATTATATAATTGAGATCAAGGTAAACCTTAAACTGACAAATAATTTCTCTGGGAAAGTCTGTGAGCAGTTAGCAGTTAAATACCCAAATGAAAACTACAAGAGGAAATGAACGACAGACATGAGTGCTCTTATGTGTAAAGACCAGATCATCAAGGTCAACTTATGACTTCTATTCTTAGTTGCTTCTGGATTTTATTTAGTTCTTTATTCTAATACGTATCTCGGTTTCCATTCATTGAATATATCAGAAGACAATTATGAGTTGAACTAATTTTAGGATTCTAGATAGGTGGTACTTGGAGTTTCTTTATATTCCCTAAACACCTGGAAAAATACTAGGCTTTGGGTCTGGCGATGAAAGACTTTTCTTAAGTTAGTTGCCAGTTGTGTGAATTAGGCATCCTACTAATTTCTTGGTTTTTACCTTTGGACTTAATTGACATCCTTGTTATCCAGGTCTATGCCCTTAATGTGTGTACAAGCACGTGAGTATCTTTTTTTTAGTTCCATTAGTAAGTGTAAGCTGACAGTTACTGTTATCATATCCATGGGTCATGTCACTGCAAAAATTGCTTCTGATTCCAATTACTTCACAAGTCCTTCCTTGCAGCTAAACTAGCTAATTGAAACGTATAAGGTTAATGGCGAAACATGTTTGTAGTCTGTTAAAAGAATCATTTTTCAAAGGGCCATCTCTTTTGAAGTTGGTGTGTATCATATAATTTCACTGTTAAAAATAGTGGTAAATAGCCTCGCAATAGCGGCGCTAATAGCGTTAGCGGTCCCTTCCCTCTACGCTATCGCCCAATAGCGGTGACGTATTAATATGTGCTTTTCGTTCGCAAAAGCTACCAATAGCACGCCCTAACGGTAAATAGCGGGCGATTGCGTGCAAATTTCGCTTTTTGACTGCTATTTAAAAGTGGTGTAGGGTTTATTTTTTTAAAATTAAACCCTACCTTTAACCATTGCATTCCACCACCTCCCACGATTTTCAGCGTGCTCCCGCCGCCTCTCATAACCTCTGGCACCTAACTCAGCACTTCCTCTCACCTCCTTCACCGTGAGCTCCTCCTAGGACAGTTCTCTCACCGCTTAGCTCATCTTCTCGAAGACGACAACTCTTTGACTTCCTCCGGCCGTCTTTTGTATTATGTGACGATTACATGTCTATTTCATGTTTAGGATCTCTTTAAATCATCAAATATGCACTTTTAGATTTTCTAGATTTTTCTTTAATTTTTTTTAGTATTTACACATATCAAAATTAGACCGCTATTTGATTTTGTGTTTTTTACCGCTATTTTGCCGCAATAGCCCCAAATAGCCTTAGCGATGCCTAACCGCTACGCGACGCTATCCGCTATCGATAACCTTGTATAATTTTTAGTACCTCGATCTGTGTTTGTTTAACTTCTCCTAGTTCTAGCAGGGCTCTGTACCACACCTCATCAAAAGGATTCAAAAGAGTCACTAACAAACTTTCACACATCCAAAAAAATGAAAGCAAAATAAAAGGCTAACATGATTGTTGATTTAAAATATTTTTTTAGTTTATTTTATTTTTTGTCTCTTGACAGTTGCAACATCAAAGACTTTTATTGTGTGCAGCCAATAAGGATTTTCAGTCTTCTAGTTACATTTGCATAAGACAAATGCTACTCTTGATATGTATTTTCCCCCCAAATAATCTGAACAATTCTCTACATGGACATCGTACCAGCCTGTTTTTTGTAAATATATATATTTTCAATTTTGTCTATCAGTTTCTCTTGGTTTTGATTAGCATAAGATTGACCTATCATTATTTCTTTATTGTTTACTCTATATGACATCAAATAATTGTTATCCTATCCTGTTATTTACTCTTGCAGCTGCCCTTTTCTGAAAGGTGGAAACTACTTGAGGAAGAAGTAATTCGACCTAGAAATCATGAAAGGAAACAGTTTGAAAGCGAGGGTAAATGCAACCCAATATATAGATATGACATGGAGCCATTTGCAGTAAGGAGATTAGCCATTGATTCATTTAGTAGTCGTGCTTTTTCATGATTTTTCCTCTTCAACTAACTAATTATTAGGAGTTGACAGGTTAGGCAGAAGGGATTTTGGTTACTATCTACAGTTAATAAGCTGCTAAAAGACTTTATACCAAATCTTTGTCACGAAGCTGATGGCCTTATTTTTCAGGTACCTGATCATGCTATCATTTCATTTTTGCTTTTCTGCATTGGTGTATGAATTATGTGTCTAACCTCAGCACTTAGTCTCATAGCAAGTGCTTTTCTTTATTAACCGTGCAGTTCGTTAATTTTCCAACATTCAGCCTTCAGAGCTTCTTATTAGAAAAAGGAAGACCTCAGGATTTCTGTTTCGTTAAAAAATGCATGACAATGTAACCCAACTCAGTATGCATTATGGTGGTTGGGCTTTTCATCATGGGGTTCAAGAGCTTGCTGCAGTTCGTTAATTTTCCAACATTAAGCCTTCAGAGTTTCTTATTAGAAACAGGAAGTCCTCAGGATTTCTGTTTCGTAAAAAAATGCATGACAATATAACCCAACTCAGTGTGCATTATGGTGGTTGGGCTTTTCATCATGGGGTTCAAGTGCTTGCTGAGGACAGGATCCCTCATCTCCTTTTCTCTATATTCTTTCGTTTTCCCTCTATTTCAAAATTTCCCTGTTTCACATCTTTGGCAGCAACGCGCAAGTAGAAGCAGCTGCTGTTTCTCCCTGATGCACTGGCATCTTGCCGCTGCTTCATATAAATGACAGAGCAGCAGGCAACTAATTGTTGTTGCTGCCTTGCTGGCTGCGAGAGATGGGAGAGAGAGAGAATAGATAAGATTAGAGGAAGAGAAGGAAAGAGAAAAAGAATAGAAGGAAGATCAGGGATAGGGAATAACTCAGTGAGGGCATGTTGTGGCGCCTCTCGCAAAGCTGATTTTAGGTATCTTTGTGGTAGGGCTTCTCACAAATGCTGATGCAGCACGTCTCTAGACCATGATTGTGGCCTTTTCACGTTATTGTTTTATGTAGGGCACTAAAATGTGAATGCTTCTTTAATAGTATTGGAATTTTACCATCATCAGTATGGTTGCAGGGTATATAAGATTTAATGTGATCAATTCCTCTTTTTTCTTCTTGAAATTACCGTAAAATGCACTGATGTAGCAATTATTATCATGGTTCTTTTGTCCAGGGCTGGGATGATCCATATGTACCCCGTACCCATGAAGGGCTTCTGAAATGGAAATATCCTCAAATGAACTCAGTTGATTTCCTTTTTGAGGTATTCATTATTTGCTTTAGTTCTTGTATCTTTTGTAAGACATGTTTTCTGTCCTGCTGTGTTGTTTGCATGTTTGTGATCCTCATGTGAAGTTTGAGTCTTTTATGATATATTTCTGCATGCGCAGGTGGGAAGTGAGAACCGACAATTGCTTTTTTTTAATGAGAGAGGAAAAAAGAAGCTTATGGATGGAGCTCAAATTGTATTTGGAGGTCAGTCATTTGTTATATTCTTGCATAACTATTCGTAATCATCTATAGCACATGTAAATTAGTCATTAGTGGCTCAAACATTCTATGTGGACCCTGTATATATTATGTTTTTGTCCGAATCAGGTTTTCTGCATCAATAGTAGGTGTTTGTATGGTATCACGGATATTTTGAATGCCATGGGTCTCCGCATAAAAGGAATATATTTTTAGCATTATCATTTATGATTTTGTTCTGAGACCTCACTTATTTGTAGGTGATGAGGACATCTCTTCCCTCTCTGGCAAGATCATTGAGTGCTGCTGGGATGCAGATGCCGACAGCTGGGTGTGTATGCGTGTTAGAGTGGATAAATCCACTCCAAATGATATCAACACTTACAGAAAGGTAAACTTAATGCAAACTGCTCATGCCTGAATTTCACATGGAAAATTTCATTGAGATCCAAGAGAAATGGGAATACAATTTATCAGTAAAGATTTTGGGAAGAATTGAGATATAGTATATTCAAATAAATTACTTATTGGTTTACACAAAAGGTTCTGAGAGAATATCTATTTTTAACAAATTATATGATTTCATGTATTATGTATGGGTGAGTTGCTTATAATCCTTGCATCCGTACCTTCAGTTGCACCAAATCCCCCTAACTCATTTTTAGCACCTGTGAAATGCCATTTCTAGTAAGATAATCGCGAGCACCCCTGTTCCACATGAATTGAGGGGGTTACAACAACAACAAAGCCTTTATCCAAAATTTTGGGTCGGCTATATAAATGAGGGTTTTTTTGGAGTTTTTTATTTGTTGGTTGGGGGTCTCTCTCTCTCTCTCTCTCTCTCTCTCTCTCTCTCTCTCTCTCTCTCTCTCTCTCTCTCTCTCTTTGAGGGGGGTGGTTGGTTCATATGCAACTTACCTTTATTTAATCATTCTTATAAGTTTTCCACCTTAGCTGTATTTAATCATCCTTGTAAGTTTTTCAAAAAGAAAATCTTCACTTAATAATTTTGGTGATGGACACAGGTTATGCGCAGTATCAAGGACAATATTACGGAGGAAGTATTGCTCGCTGAGATTGCAGAGATAGTTCGCCTCCCAATGTATGCAGATAGGATAGCGGTAGCAGAAGCTCAGAGGCTTCACCAGCATCGCCGTAGGTGAAAAAAAAATGTTCTCAAGATAGTGCCTGGAGTAAATAGCTAGGGCCTTTACTGGCTACTACTTGTATCTAGTAGTATAGATGTGTAATTATAGGATCTGTTTTTGTAGAACTATTGTTCGACTGGGTCTTATATTTTACAAGCATAGTTCGAGTAGAAAGTATTATGAGCGTCTTCTTCTCTCTCAGATATATGTTTTTTTAGGAAGACACGTAGATTGGCAAGACTTTTATGAGTGTAGAAATGCAAGATGGTGTAGTTATCACGCGGTTGATTGTGATGAGGTGATTAAATAAATAAATGGCATTTAGGTCTCCATAATGTGAGGAGGGTGTTCTTGTTATTATTTTTGAGTCTAACAAGAACGGTCAGATGGAAAATTTGAGCGAGTTATTTATATGATGAGAACGGGATTACTCGTATGGGCTTCAGCAATGGTGGCGAGTATTTCTATATTATTCTCTCTCTCCAGATGCAAGTTAACATGCCAAGCAGGGCAGAAGAATTATATTTCTACCGAAAAGGTCATGGCCTGTGGTCGTCAACTCTTGGAATCCTCAGGAGGAAACTTCCACAAAATCACGAGTGAATTGTTGCGCGGTACTTTCGCAGCCTAACAACCTGAGCTTGTCTGCTGTGTGATTTGCTTCCGATGAGTTTTAAGTTGAGAGCTGGGTCAGAGGAATTTGTCTGAACAAATATTGGATGCGCCAGCTCTCTATTTTTATTTTTTTTTTCTCTCACTTGCTGATGTATTTGTTTTTCCAAACCCTCTTATTATTATTATTTGCTGACATTATGTCACATTATACTTGGATCAAAGGCGAGCGAAATGCATGTGGTTGACAAGTGCAAAGAATGAAAACGCAAAGTCATCTCCAGCCAGAAAAAAAAAGGTCAGTATCATCCATCTGAAGTTGAAATTTTACGACACGAGTCAGTGTAATGAAAGAAACACATACGCTATGGGTTTTTTTTTTTGAACGATGAATAAGGATCATACACGAGAAAAAGAAACACGAGAAACGATTCACATGGATTATTTTTTCTCACTTGGAAAACATGTGAAGAGTGCTTAACAAATATAACCTTTAATTTAAACATCTGCATCTCTATGAAAACCATGAAAGAAGAACAAAAGAACTCTTTAACTCGCCACGCTTCATCTCATGAGAATCTTGTTATTGGATACATTAGATTAAAACTGTTACAATCACACCGCAAATTACAGATAATATTAGTAGTCCTTGAGAACTATAAAAAGGCATTAAAAAAATGAGATACTTGCTCGAGCACTGCTTCAGTAGCAGGAGCATAGATATACACAAGCTTAACCAAGGCCTGCCCCTGCTACTTCCTTGCGAGGTGCATCAGCCTTGATTCTGGTTGGTCTAGGATCTGATCAATCAGCCCATACTCCAGGTGAAAAGAAGCGATCTAAATAACTCTCCAACCCATACTTCTAGGTTGCGTGAGAACTTAGGTCATTGATCATTGGTCTTGGGTTCGGAGATGCCAGCTAGGGTTAGGGTTTTGGGGAAATTAGGTCATTGGTCTCCACTTTGAGTGGGAGAGAGAGCGAGGGAGGGGGAGATGGGAGGATGTTTTTGGTAAATTATTTAAACTTGGTTGCTTTTTATAATTACGTTTGAAGTTTGGATCCTTAAAAAAAGGAAAAAAAATAAAAATAGATCACTTTTGCTAAATATTTAGCAAAATCGATCATTTTAGTACATTTAAATTAATTATTATATGCTTAAAATTAAAAATCATATTCGCTCATCTATACTTAAAAAAAGGATTCAAATTATAATACATTTAATTTAAAAATCATATCTACTACTCTATACTTAAAAAATAATCTAAATTTTAATTCATTTGATTTGCTTTACTGTTAATGATATAGTAAATTATACTACAGCATAAATAGTAACTCCAAACTAAGGAGCAGGTCAAGTATTGTTTATGCTACAGTAAAATATTGTAGCATAAACAGTACTTCAAAGGAAGATGACTATATTTAATTTACTGTTTATAATATAGTATTTAATGTAACATAAACAGTAATTCTTTGGATTCTCCTTTAATATAAAAGAGCAGATACGTAACCACATCTTCAGAGTAATAAACACATACAAGTACTACCTTGATTTTATTCATTCATCTTTCTTGTCTTGTGATTTCATTTATTCTTTAATTCTTCCTTCTCTCCTCTAAAATTCAATTCATTATTTTTTGCATATATTCACAACAATCATTCATCACATTCACACTTATTCTTTTTTTTCCTAATTGTCACGCACAAAACATAAGAATCATTTTTAATAATCTCTTAAAATCACCTTCTTCGTGGGATCGATATCTTTTTATACTATAACTTGATAAATTGTGCACTTGTAATTTTTGGTACATAATTATGCCGCATCAGGAGCCAAGGTCTTGACCATGATGGTCGATGAGAGCCGAAGGAATCAACCACCAGTTGTACCTTGGGCTTATCCTAATGAGGAGCCAAGGTCTTTGTTACCAACTGAGGAGTCGTTATACCTTGGGCTTATCCTGATAAGGAGCTAAGGTCTTGACCATGATAGTCGATAAGAGCCGAAGGAATCGACCACCAGTTGCACCTTAGGCTTACCCTGATAAGGAGCCAAGGTCTTTGTTACCAACTGAAGAGTCATTGTGCCTTGGGCTTATCCTGATAAGGAGCCAAGGTCTTGACCATGATGGTTCATGAGAGCTGAAGGAATCGACCACCAGTTGCGCCTTGGGCTTACCCTGATAAGGAGCCAAGGTCTTTGTTACCGATTGAGGAGTCATTGTGCCTTGGGCTTATCCTGATAAGGAACCAAGGTTTTGATTATCGACTGAGAAGTCGTTGTGCCTTGGTCTTATCTTGATAAGGAGCTAAGGGCTTGATATTCGACTAAGAAGTTGTTATGCCTTGAGCTTATCCTGATGAGGAGCCAAGGGCTTGGTTACCGACTGAGAAGTCGTTGTGCCTTGGGCTCATCCTGATGAGGAGCCAAGGTCTCTCAAATTTGACTCGGAAGCCGAATGCCTAGAACCCTTAAGAGTTGGCTAGGTCTTTGATGTTTTTTTACTTTCATTGATTGTTGAAATTTGTACATAATGGAGTGCAACTTATCAATATTTAATGTTTGAATGACGTCGAATTCTTGTTCTTCGCTCATATGCATCTTGAAGGTAGCTTTTTGCAGGGGACAAGGCCGACGAAATGGAACTTCCTCAGTTGTTTCTTGTTGTCTTTGAACATTCCTGTTTTGGCAAGGGTGAACCGTAGCTTTATTGGCCATCCTTGTCGCTGTGTAACTTAGGACACCAAGTCGCCAGTCGTTTGAATATCCAGAGTCGGATGATGCTCTCTTTTTTTTAGGGCGAGTTGATTGGCTTTAGATCTTGCTGAATTGATGACATATTTGCCATTTCATCGGCCATGACCTTTCTGAACTTGAGTCTCTATCGAGGTCCTTGCAGGCCATGACCTATATGGCCAATGCCCTATTGATTGGTCCTTAGGAGGTTGGTGTTTTAACAGGAGGTCGGACAACTTTTGTGATGTGGGCTTCTTATTAGTGAAACCCTAGATGTCGATGCTTTGTCTCCTAGAATTTGATGGGATCATAGTTTCCCCTTGGGGATTTCAGGGATAGCAACGATTGGACCATCCTGTGAATGGAGGAACCTTCTTGTAGGGAGAGTACGAGTCGCATACTTTGACCACCAGTTCTTGCTTCGACTTTGGTGGTTTGAATATCTATTGAGGACCAAGGATGGATTTCCTGAGGAGGCGATTATTAGTTGGCCCGTCGAGTTTTCCTGCTATCTCATCCTTAGCAAGTAAGGACTCTCCTTTGAAGGCAGTGATGATCCGAGGAGCCTACCACAGACTTGACCGTTGCTCTTGAACTCGAATGAGTTGTCGCCGATAGGAGCTTGAGCGATATTGGATCCGATCATAACCCTTGTTGGAGGGAGGGTTCTTCTTTGTGATCTGACTCCAAGCTTCTTGGCTGTCTAGGAGGTGGAGTTTTATCTGTGGCGGTGATAAGAAGCCTATGCTTTATTTTCAAGCCAGACAAACACCATAGTGGTGTGTCTTCTCCAGGAGGGCTTTCGAGGTTCTAGAAGCGGGTCCACCTTCTGGGGGATGACCTGCTTGGCAAATACTCCTCAGAAAGCTATTGAAGCCCTCGAGAGCTATGCCTATGTTGGCTCCTCATAGCTATAGGCTAATCCTCCTTAGCTTAAATGATGCGATTTCAGGCTTTGTTTAGCTTGAATAGTGCGATTCCAATGGTGTTCTTCAAGAATGAAGGAGATCAGGCCCCTGCTCAGAATTAGGCATGTTTTCTTAGAGAAGAAAGTGGGTCCCACGGTGGGTGCCAAACTGTTGATGTTTGAGATCATACAGTCAATGAGAGCTTTTCGCTGATGGATGCAGTTCAGATCTTTGCACTGATGATGAAGAGGGAGAGGATGAGAGATGGGGCCGACTCCTCCTCCGACTTTATGCTCGATCCTTGGATTGAAATTCCTGATTCTTCTGCATAAATAAGAAGAATGAACCCGTAAGAGGGCGGGGTTTGTTTCCCTCATGATACCTCCGACGGTCAAGTCAGCTGGTGAGCTTGAGTAGGGTTTGAGGGAGAGTCTCGGGACCATTGAGGTCCTTATAAGGGGGTACTCTTTTTAAGTTATTAGTTCTCTTTAGTAAAAGTAGACCAAGAGGGAAAAATGACCCTCAACGTTTTATGAAATAGAAGAAGAAAAAAAAACAACCCCCCTTTTCTTACCTTCCTTCCCGCCTTTTATAGTTCATCGCCTCTGAGATGTTGATCCTTGGCTCTGACTATGCATAGGAGGTCGGTTGTGGGGTGAGCAGACAGGCTGTTGAGTCATCCTCCGCTTTACAGATGTCAGATGGTGACGGGAAGGGAAGTTATTTGAGCATAGGAGAGACTGTCTCCATAAGATCCCGAATTTGACAGATGGGGCATTGCGGAAGATAGGCCGGCTGCTTAGTCATCCTCCACTTTATAGATATCGGCTGGCGACTGGGGCGACTGGGAAAGAAGTCATTCGAGCACAGAAGAGAATATCTTAGTAATCTCTAGGAAGTGATTTGTGAGCATAGTAAGCTGTCTACGCACGAGATTTGTCAGAGTTGAGATCTTGATAGGACCGATCAATACTGTAATGTCGATTGATGTATATCTAAATGGAGCTTAGTTAGTTTTTGAATCGTCCCTATGATTTGCCGACCAAACAGTCGAGCGAACTTCTGGCCGAGT